TCCAGACCTCCAACTTGAGATTTGCTCAGTTTAGACCACTCGGCCTACTGACTACTGTTTGAAAATGTGTCTTTACTAATTGTGCCACAGGCTATGGCTGTGGGCTGTGGCTTGTTCCACACTAATGAACTGGAAACCAAGAAACTCAATTTGGTAAAAGTTTCTGTAGTTTACAATGGTGTCCAAACTTTCAATGCTTTCTGTGACTTTTTAAAAACATAACTTTAAAAATGCATGCCTTTCACTTTTTAAATTTTAAACCCCTGGTACTCAATGGTAGTAAAAAGGGAAAGAAGAGAGGAAAAGTAAGTCCACTGCGATTGGTCACAATAGAATAGCATCATGTCAACCACGTGTGTGCTACTGCTAAGCCTATAGTTTGCAAAAAATTACCCTGTATACAGAGTATACTGCATGTTGCACTGCACGATTCGCATTTCCATGGGTAACCATCAGTTGACTCAGCACGTCAGACCAAAGACAAGGGACGTTAACAGTGAAGCAGTTGTAAGACGTGGTTCAGCAAGCCACACTTACACTAACCAAAGAATGCTGTCATGCATGCTGTCACACTGTGCCTTTGGCGTTGTGTCGTAAGTTTTCAGAATGTTTCCTGGCAAAACATTATTTACAATATAAACTGGCACTTGCCATTGCCTGCAATGGTATTGTTTAAAAAAAAATTATAAGTTATTAGTCCGCAAGACAACACCATTCATTCAGAATCTTAGACGTTAACACTATATCTAACGAAAAGTATTCTATTCAATGTGTTTTACTAATATTTTGAATTTGGGACTGTAGTTTGGAGGGTTGCCCAATGTTTAGCATTGTTAGTATTTTTAGTCTAAAACTAAATGAGTAAATATTAAATACCTTGTCCTTGTCCCTAGACCTAACTAAATCTAAGCCTATTATTTTGTATAAGGTTAAGAATAAATAATAAAGTCCTATTGATGTCAAATTTTTTTGTTTTATTGTTGATAGGCCTATTTCTATTATTCGTTATATGAATAGGCCACTGTGACTATATAATAGTAATAGGCTCTATCTATGTCTTTTTCATTTAATTATTTTAAATAGCATAATTTAATATGATTTAATAACTAGACTGGCTCATTAATATTACTGTATTTATAGCCGATCATCTATTGTGACAATACCAGGTGCTTATAGTATAAGGCCTAAGGCTAAGTCATCCTAGCCTAGGCAAAGGCTAGCCTAAGACTAAGAGCCCAAAACATAATATATTTCATATTAATTATACATCTTTTTTATTTGACATTTCAGAAATCTAGATCCATTAACAGAAACTGTATCCTTTTTTTAAAAAAAAAATGAACATTGTAAAATAAGTGGGGTGGGGGGTGGTTTTAGCGCATTTTGGAGATTTAAAACATAAAAAAAAAATTCTCGTTTTTATTTACATAATATTAGAATCGATTGTTTTTTTAGAAAAGAAATACAGTCAAGTGTCTGGTCTAAGAAAGCAGATTATCCAAAACATATGTTATCCAAACTGCTGCGTCTTAAAGTTTAAAAAAAATTACTATGACATGAAACATTGGCGTACAAACACTGGAACATTTTTTGACTCCTGTCACACAACCCAGGTGAAAATCTAGATATTTGTTGTACTCACAGTCACAGGATTTGTTAATTAATATACATTGCATAATATATGCCAGCAAAGACATATAACCTCAGATTTTATTCTAAGCACCTGTCATCTGTTTATATCTTCTTATATATATTGTCTTCTTTTTTCTTAAGGGTTTTTGCTTTCCAGTAGCTTTTGTAGGCTGGAATAGGAAAGGTAGCCTGCTGTTATCGTTTCTTTCACCTCCTAGATAAAGTCGCCCCTAGACATTTGAAAGTAGCCACTCTCTCAAAGATGTGGTTGTTTATATCGATGTTGTCATGAACATGGGTGTTTCGTGACATTCATATATTTTGTCTTCATTTCATTTACATCAAGACCAGCTTTGACCGAGGCATTTTCAAGTTCCCTGAATGCTTTAATTACTGTTTCTGCCCAGTAGCGCAATATCATCTGCGTATGTCAGGCACTGCAATGGCAGGCTTTATAAAGTTTATGATGGTTGTTGTTCTGTATTACCTCTCTGGAATTAGTGTTTGTAATTGTTCCACTGATGCTCACGTGTATGCTTCTAATAAATTTTTCTAGCATGATGTTGAACAGAATACATGCGGTATTGTATGCTGTTTTTTAATCCACATATAGTTGAGGTATGCCGATGTTATATTCGTAGCATTTCTTCAGGAGACATCTCATAATAAAAATATGACCTGTGGTTAACCTATTCTGCCGTAATCAGCATTGGTAGTCTCCTAGGATCTGTTCCACATACCTTTCCAGTTTTCTTACTATTAGTTTTGAGAGGATTTTTTACATTACATTAAGGAGGGAGATTCCTCTATGGCAGCAGTTCTCAACCTGTGGGTCGTGACCCCTTTGGGGGTCGCGGGACCCTTTTCCAGGGGTCGCCTAAGACCATCTGAAAACATATATCCTTACAGTTATGAAGTAGCAACGAAAATAATTGTGTGGCTTTGGGGTCGCCACGACACGAGAAACAGTATTAAGGTGTTGCGGCACTAGAAAGGTTGAGAACCACTGCTCTATGGTCAAGGTCATTCTAAATACATGCTGCATTTGAACATGAATCCAACTAGAATATTTACGAGTTCTTAAACAATATATCAAAGTTTTAATACCACCAAGTGATGGAGACACTCTTAATAACATTTCGTAATTGTGCGTAACTCTACATCATTTTTTCTTTAAATGGTAACATTGAGAACTTGGTGATATCTCCGTATCTATTTCGCTATGATTTAAGTAGGTTTGATTAGTGATTAGCTTTATTTTAGGATTTTAGTTTGCAAGCTGTATTATGAAGAAGGACCTGACAAATAAAAATGATAAAAGAGATAAGAGACATTTTGAAGGTCCATGGGAATCTGTTTTCAGTAAAAGGTGTGGAAGGGGCGATGTAAGGACATAATTTTTAAAGCTTACATACAACGCTTATTGATTTTCATCAATTGCAATACAAATATATTTTAATTATTATATAATTGTATATCTCACGGCCTCATAGGTGGCAAAATTGAAATTCAAATGTTCTTTATGTCATCATGGAGACTTCTTGGGGTGGGGAAGCTAAGAGGACAATAAAAACTTTTTTTTTTAATGCTCAGAAGAATTGTGATTAAAAAAATTAAAGAGCCATGGTTTATATTCTAGGATGCCTGAGATGGCTGCTTGGTTTACATTCTATGGATGTCTCAGATGGATGTGTAGTTTACATTATTTGGATGTCTGAGATGGCTGCCTGGTTTACATTCTATGGATATCTGAGATGGCTGCATGATTTACATTCTAGCATGTCTGCGATTACATGCCTGGTTTACATTCTATGGATGCCTGAAATGACTGACAGGTTTACATGATGAGTATTAGTCTGAGGGAAAGCTTTGGGTCATATGATAGCTCAATGGGTGAGGGTGAGGTAAGTGAGATTAAGGAGTTATATGGTTACAGACTGAATGAAAATGGGGAACAGCAGAGTAATGAGATAGCACAGTTAGGTTTAAATAGTGTAAATTCTTTGAAATAATGAAATATCAAGAAAATTACATATTAATTAATTCTAGAATGTAGTAATAGTATCATAATAGAAGGGGTGAAGTTATAACAAATATGATCGTAGTGTGTGAGGGATGGGGCATTTCGTTTAGCCGATGGTTGAAGAGCGGGGGAAACAGAAAGAAGGGTTGCTTTTTAAAAAGATAGTTTGGGAAGAAATTTGGAATGATAGGAGGGAGCTGGTTTGATGTTTAAGCGGTGGATGTTGTGGAGGGAGGAATGAGTTTGTATTCAGGGTCTTAGAAGAAGCAATGAATTTAAGAGATTTTGGGGAATGATTTGGGGGAAGGACACAAACCCCAGGGCCGTCTTAAGAACATAGGGGGCCCTGGGCACATCAATGCACCAGGGTCCCCAGCAACACAACACACCAGGGTCGTTAGAAGGGGCGGGGGGGAAAAGTGAGGCACTAGTCCCATGCAGCAGTGCGCGCAAACAGTTGTTGCTCCCAACCCAAATCACCAAGAGGAATAAAATTGTAAATAAGAATAAACATTCAATAAAGTTAAAAATAGGTTAATTCAACTTATTTTTAAAAAACAAAATCAATCCAATTAAATAATGGTTTTAAAACATCAGAAATACATTATAATTCATCCCAGATGATGATAAATTTTCAGGTTGTCCATTTGATTACTTAGTCTTTCTGTCTCACGCCTCGTTTTTCATTTTCCTGATCAGTGTCAGCTGATACAGAGTCCAGAGCATCTTGTACTTTTTCGAACGTTGACGGCATCAAAATGTGCCGACCATGTTGTTTCAGACAGATGCTCTACGACAACGAGAGATTTTCCTAAGAAAGATACCAGAACATTCCATCGATGTGTAGAAGCTAAGAAAAGGGTATATAGGCGCTGAAGAAAGTCGAAGCATTGTCCAACTTGTAGGCAACACTCTGCTGCTTTTAAGCCCACTAAGTTCAGACTGTTTCCAGCACAAGGGACATACATGGCAAACTCTCTCAATGGACGCAGCAGTGCTTGCAATCCAGTGTAGCGTTCAGACATATAAATTTAAAGCTTTGTCATACGATTGACCACGGCAAATTGAAGGCGGAATTTTGTTCTCATTCAGGAAATCCAAAACATTGTCTGTTAGATCCTTTAATACACAACAGTGTCTGTTAGATCCTTTGCTCCATGAGAAAATATGGAAATTAACTCTATAAAACTTTCCACAGACTTACATCCTCGAATGTCCCGGACCGTAAATGTCAGTTGATCGGCACTGACATACCCCCTCCCCTTTTATTGAAGAATGGGTGTATTCTCCTGTTTATATAAATATACAACAACTACAATTTCTGAATGAACCTTAACAACACTAGTATGGTTTGCCATTTTATATGCAGTACCTGGCACATTGGCCTGAATACTTTCAAGTTCTAGAATCTCCCAGTGGAGAGATCATGGGTTACAGTAAGATATATTTTCCTACATGTTTCACATGTTAAAAATCATTATTATTTTTTTAATTTCTGAAAACTGTGTAACTTTGTGAATAAATTCAAACGATCTATACTCTTTACGTAAGTACGTAATGCTCCTGTTTCACATTAAATAATGAATAATTCTTAAACATAAATTGAAACATCCCTGACATTTGTAGCTTATAGTTTCTTCTTTCTCATGATAGGTTTACATTGAGAAGTGAATATTAATGAGTATATACACTTAATTTTTAAGAAATTTTTGTTGCTTCCTACTTAGAAAGGCTTACAAAAAAAGCTTTTTGAAATGCTCAGAATGTGTCAGAATTATATTTACAATATTTCATGTAACAATCTTCCATTGCTCAAACTCGTAAATTAATGTTCTAATCATTTTTACCTTGTAATGATCTATTTTCATGACAACAGTCATGGGGAAGGCTGAAGGAACAGGAGAACAGTGGCATGGTCACGTGACCGCCCTGAGTGTAGCTCCAGAGTTCCGTCGACTTGGCCTGGCGGGAAAACTTATGAATGGTTTAGAGGAGATTTCTGAAAGGTATGGGATAAAAAAAACTTGCATAGATACGCTGAAGGTGTTGGCTCTGATATTTGCATTAAATTTATTCTCTTTGATAACACTTTTCCAATTTTATTGATGATTGATTTCTTTCAGAAAGCGCTGCTATTTTGTGGATTTGTTTGTGAGAGTGTCCAACAAAGTTGCTGTGGCCATGTATGAAAAGCTTGGTTATAGTGTTTACAGAAGGGTTCTAGAGTACTACTCGGGAGAAGTCGATGAAGATGCTTTTGGTAGGTAGAGTTATTATAACTAGCCCTGTGTTCATATCTACACATAGTCTACTTTATGAGAGGCTACACATCCTCATCTAAACATAGCCTACTTATTGAGGGTTACAAATACTCAGTACTTGTACAAAGGACATATCAAAAAAAAATCTGTATTCAAGAATGACTAAAGCAATTAACTTTTCCATTATTTACTTTTGTATTTGTTTATACTAACTTGGCACTTGCCCCAGATTTTTATATTAAAAAAGGGCAGATTTTAGAGCAACAAGTGTGTTTAACACTGTCAATCAGAAGAGAGTTGAAACCCTTTTATCAGTGTAGCACAGGCCTGCACAACATACGGCCCGCAGGCCACATGCGGCCCGCCAGCACACACTTTGCAGCCCACGAAGTAACGAAGTATTCTTGATTCTTTTTATTTTCTTAATAGCTTTCCCCACTGTCCAATTGTCCTTTGGCCCACATAAGTCCTGTCCTATTTTCTATTGGCCCGCACAGGTTTTCATAAAGTATTACGGCCCGCCTTACATTTTGAGTTGTGCAGGCCTGGTGTAGCACATCAATAAGTAACCCTTGTGTCCAATTGTCTACACCAGCTCAGTATGAAGTTGGTAAAAATCGACATAATATGTGAAGAAATTGCTGACTTCACATTTTCAAGTTGCACATAAAGGAACACATTTTCAAGATGCACATAGAGAAACACATTTTCAAGATGCACATATAGGAAATGTAGCAAATGTTTTAGTGAATTACGTATGTTTAAAAAACATTATTGTAACATCGCCAGCAATGAAAGAGAGAGTGTCCCATTGAAACTTGAAAAGCAACTTTGCTGGCATAATTAATATACTTTGAGACAGTATATAATCAATCGTCAATTCCATTATTGAAATGTCAATCCATTGTTAACAGTTGACAGAATTAATAACCCATAATCCCCATTGTGTTAGTTCTTTGCAAGATATGGCTTTGAAAAGGGCTTAGTGAAAGTTAATGGCTGTCATGCACACCAGGCGGAATGCTCTGAACAAAATTGCCATTATTTCTTGTCTCCACTGACGTTTTTGATGTAAATCTTACACTTAGAAGAGCTTTTGTTTACTAATGTGTAGGAATTATTTGGAAAGAAAAACGAACAGAATGGATTTTTTTTAGCAAAGTGGGGATAATGAACACTTTGTTTTGTTGTTTTTTTTCATCAGCTTTGTGTGGATATGCATGTAATGTCATCCAGTAAAAAGTTTAATAAAAGACTGAGAATAGCAACATTTTATGGCATTAGTTTTGGTGACAATTTATAACCGTGTGAAGTACGGTATGAAGTACCACAGGAAGTACCACAGGAAGTACCATTTGAAGTACTGTATGAAGTGATTTTAATTTATTTTGTTCTACATTTCTTTAGATATGAGAAAAGCTCTATCCAGAGACAAGGATAAGAAGTCTGTGATACCGCTGCCCCACCCGGTACGCCCCGATGAGCTGGACTGACACGGGGAAGGACACAATACTCTTGCAGGCATGACGGAGGTGCTGTTTGTTGCTATTTTTATACTTGCTGGTTCCTGTTTTTTCCTTCTTCTAGAACTGTGGTTACAAAAGCAGAAGAGAACAATGGATCTTAACAGAGAACTCTAAATGTAGCTAACTGATGGATCTTCTGTTTTAAAAAAAGTTGAATCTAATTAAAATTGAAATTAAACATAATTAACTCCAGACCCTAGTATTATTTTGCAATTTATTTAATCAAATTGTTTTTTGCACCTATCACACTATGCATTGAAATAAAACTCTAAATTAATAGTCTTTTTAACCAGACCCTGAAAAGTTCTTTGTGATTCAATTTCATGATCGCCAGTGTACCTTGAAATAAGAATTGCAACCAGCCAGCCTGCCAGAGTAATGTGCCCTGATAACTTTCTGTGTTAGTGTGTTATTGTCAACAGTTGTCTCCCCTTAAAGGATATATTTATTTTAAAAAACAACTAAAACATAACATTTTCCTTTAAAAAAAAAAATGTCACTATATCCTCTACAACTTCTTGCAATAAACTTGAATAACTTTTCTTGTATCACTATATGCTATTTGATGTAAGATATGGAAAATAAAATTAGTTATATTTGTTTAAATGCAAAAAAATTGTTTACAGGACAAGGGGAGTCCACTGTTGTGCCATTTTCATTAATGTTCTGTATATACAAGTTAATGTAATTTCAGATGATAAGCAGATGTCATTCAAATGTCCTTTTTGTAAGTGCTGTCATTCAGATGTCATTTGTTGCAATCAGTTTAATTGTTTGGTTTCTATACTGGAATGGTTTAACTGTATGGTATCTATATATGAATGGGTTGACTGTATGGTATCAACACTGGAATGGTTTCACTGTCTTTTACTTGTACTAAGATGGTTTTGCATCTGTACTTGGATCTTTTAGCTGCATTGTATCCGTTCTGGGACGGTTTAATAGGTGGCCTCATGTCTCTAGGGAGCTTGGAGGCCTCACGCCTCTTAGAAACCTCACACGTCTATGGAGCCTCACCCTTCTACGGGCCAATCTTGTTCATGAGTATTAAAATATTTTTTGGCATTTTAATTTGATTTCAAAATGCAGCGAGAAGACTGATTTTTCCAGTTTTTTAAAACAAGTTTTCGGTTTACCCATCAGTTCAATTTTTTGGTACAGTAGTTTTAGAAAAAGTTTCTTTTGATACATTGTCTTTTTGAAAAAAATTCAGGGATGGGGGAAAAAAAAAGGGGGGGGGGGGGGTTAAATAAAAGAGTTTTTTAAAAGGGGCCCCAAGGGATTTATT